AATTAATTAACTTATTTTACAATATGTATAATTTTCAAATAAAAAATATTTTAAAATTTTAAAAAAAATAGCTCCCAAACGGCTATATAGCCGTTGGGGCTTTGGGTGGGGGGCAGGGGGTCCCGGGGGTGGTGGTGTAGGGAGTGGGGTTCAAAAAATTCTATAAATACATCTATTTTCTAACATTTTTCTACACCTCTTCTCCAACTCTTCTCCATCTTCATCTTCTTTTATTATCCTACATTCTTACTTATACATCTACCATTTTAAAGATGGAAAGTAAATCTTCCCTTATGCAAATCATTTTTGATAAGTGGAAGGACTCGAAGACCGGACTGTGGTGGGCAACTTGCAAGTGGTGCAAGAAAGAGTGTAGCTTGGGGCGTTCACACGGATACGGGATGCCAATAAAACATATGAAATCATGTGTCAAAGGCAAAACAACCTTGTGGTTCACATAGTAATATTACTTTTTTATATTGCTTTTAATATGTCAAAGGCAATATGTAACCACACTAGTCACCGAAAATCATGTGTGAACCATGTGTCACCGATTTACATAATGCTTTTATTGTGGTTCACACTAGTCACCGAAAATCATGTGTCAAAGGCAAAACAACCTTGTGTTCCCAAAGGCGAAACTAACTTTGGGCATCAGTGAGTCCAAAGTCTTACATATTGCTTTTTTTTTAAAATACTTCTCATTTTCCTTTTTGGGTCGTTCCCAAAAGTACTTCTCACTTTCCCTTTTTTGGACAATTTGTGTGGTTCACATTCATTTTACTTTTTTCTTACACAACCACACATTTCCACTTTTTTAATAAGCGTGTCATTCAAACTTGGAAGAATTTTTAGGAACAAAGGGTGAAAGATGAAAGAAGAAAGAGGACACAAGAAAGAATAATGGGGAAGGTAATAAGTTAATATATACTACGTATGATAGAGAGAAGAAAGGGAGGGGGAAAGATTAAAAATTCTCAGATGTTTTATACATGGTGTATCTCAGGATGTAACTCAAAATGTACACTTAACAAAAATGATCGTAATTTCTGTATAAAAAAAGGTCAAATTACAAAATTAATAAAAAGGTAGAAGGGGGTTTACCAAATTGAATTGGTAAAAAAGCTTCTCAGACATATTGATAAACAAAAGCTCCAGTGATAAATTGATCATTTGTATGAGTGGGTCACTTTTGGTATTTGGACCCTAGAGTTCTCGACATTTCATATCCTAAGTATTGTGAACTTGACATATTCAGTCCTTCTACTTTGACTTGAATTGTCATGAAAAGTGAATGCCAAAAAATTTTAACGACCGTGTTTGATTATAGTAGTTTTCTGTTAGCTAATAGTCGGTTGAATCAACAGATTGGTACTAGCAGTTTCCGTTGGCATTTTTAACTAACCGCTTTTATTAGCGGTTTGAAATAAAATGTTGATAACTTAGTTGTTTGCAATTAGCTTTTAAGACGTAAAATGACCATTAAGGTTATGAATTTAAAGGTTTATATATTTAACTTAATTTTATTTCTTTTATTTTTAGTAAGTCTTGAAAAAATTATATTTATGTTATTTTAAGTAACTGCCATCACTATCAGTTTATGTCCGATATGATCTGTTTAAGTCTATTTTGGTCTTGTCTTGAAATGAAAACAATCCAAAGAAAACATCTTAGGATGAACTTTAATACCCAGGGGCGGATCTGGCCCATGGCCAGGGTGGGCCTAGGCCCATGCTCAAAAAAATATAATTATTAGTATATATATACTATGTGTATATATATATATTAATATATATATTAATATATAGTGTTTTAGTAGTTATGATATAAAAAATCTAATGTCAATTTGTTAACATCACTCAAGTTGGTCCAATGGAAGCACACTAATTATGCTACAAAAGGAGTCAGGTTCAAGTCCCTTGGGACCTTGGGCACCATATTCATAATTTTTCAATGCAACATGAGTAAATTTTTTGATACACTTCCAAATTGTTGGGCTTTTGGTAACTGGTATGCAAAATTAGTTCAAATCATTTGGCTTTTGAATATTAGCTTGAAAAATTATTTAATTTGATTCATTAGAATTTCGAATATTAGTCTAAAAAATTAATTAGTTCACATCATTGGACAATTGAATATTGATTTGAAAATTAATAAGTTCAATTCATTCTGCTTGGTATTTTTCAATGCAACATGAGTAAATTTTTGGATACACTTCCAAATTGTTGGGCTTTTGGTAACTGGTATGCAAAATTAGTTCAAATCATTTGGCTTTTGAATATTAGCTTGAAAAATTATTTAATTCGATTCATTAGAATTCCGAATATTAGTCTAAAAAATTAATCAGTTCACATCATTGAACAATTGAATATTGATTGGAAAAATTAATAAGTTCAATTCGTTCTGCTTGGCAGGTGAAATTTAATTAGTTTACTTTTTTTTACATAGAGCATAGACTATGGAGTCAAAAGAAAATTGAATTTCGAGAAATCAATTTGAAAATTGGTATTGAACACGTCATTAACCGACGCGAGCCAATTTCGGATAGATATCTATGGCTCTTTTAAGATAATTAAATTTTCGGTTTTGTAATATTTATTATTTTTTCTTTGACACTTCTGTAAAATTATATAACTAAATCTTGTAATTTTAACATTTTTTGCAAAATAAATTATGTATCGCTAATTAAAATTTGGCCCCACCTCAACGCAAATGCTAGATCCGTCCCTGTTAATACCACCACCTTGTTGGGAAATAGTTTAAACGTGATATATTGATCACCTTTTGATCTAAAATATAAAAGGGACTTGTAACTCGTTTTTTGTGGGATCAAGTTCTAATATGTTGTACTATGAAAGGTGAACATTGCCAATTTACCATATATTAAGTTGTCCGAAACTATTTAAAAGTAGATGAAAATGATTGCCTGAACTTCCTTAATATAGCTTTCGTGAAGGCAAAATGGCAAATTAAAGTTTAAGGTTTCTTGTAAATCTACCTTGGAGTAATTCAAGAGTACTCCAATTTTACAAGCGATAAGGGTGGCGCTGCCATTTATCTCATTTTTTCAAGTAATGAGACATGACACAAAGAATGAGAAAAACTAGAAAACCGAAAGAGAAAAAATAGGGAAAATGAAAACGGGAAGAAAACACAAAGATGTGGATTATTAATGGAAAACAAGCCAAAATACTAGAAAACAGATGGAAAACGTAATGAACTAGAAAACCTCTAAATATAAAATGTTAATAAAATAATAATCGTGTAGTAACTCTAGCCATCTCCAATCAGCAGAGGTAGTTGCAAGATGACGTCCATAAATCAAAATCACAGAAGATGATATCATACTTTGATCTTCTCCCGGCAATCCGGCATGAATGCCATCTGTTAAAGAAAGTCACTAATTGATCGAATTTGCGAAGCTGGCCTCTTCATCAATCATATATTCCATCTTTCATAGTTGTTATTAACCCAATTTTTGCAATATTCAAATACCTGATCATAATTTTCTATTGATATATACGAAGAATATATTATATAATTATGTATAAAAATGTTATTAAATTTCTATTAATGTAAATTCTCAAAGTATTAACTTTTTATAATGTTTATTAATATGTACCCCCTTGTCGCTAATTTTTCTTCCATAATATAAATGGCAAGGGGATTAAGAGCCCGTTTGGTAGCACCAAAATCGGCTGTTTTGGCTGATTCTGCTGAAATTTATGATATTCTGGCTGGAGTGGCTGTTTTGGCTGATTCTGCTGATTTAAGAAAAAAATATTTTAAAAATATATTTTATTAATAAATTAAAGAAAAAATTATATGTAAAAATAGCTAAAATGGTCCTCTACAGTAACTTCAGCCAATACAGCCAGAAAAGTAACTCCAACCTTACTTTTTCGGCTTATTACACAATTCAGCGCGCGAAAGTAAAAGTTACGTGTTTGGTGAAAAAGCTGGCTGATAAGCCTGATAAGCCGAAAACAGAGTTCTCCAAACGGGCTCTAAGATAGCTAGTGTCAATTGTCTGGTGCAAAGTTGTGCAGGGAAGAAAGAAATGTGTAAGAATATGTAAGAATCATTGTAAACTATAAATTCTTTACCAAAAAGAGAAATTGAAAATTTATTTTAAGACGTCCAAAATGAAAGATAGAAAGTTTTTTCAGAGGTGGCGAGAATACTACGCAATTACTTTTAGTTACATTTAAAGTTATATGATGTCAAACATAAAATCAAAGGGAAAGTTCCCGAAATAGGACTAAAAAAGTTTGAAAATTCCAAAATAGGACTGTCATATTTTTATTCCCAAAATAGGACTAATTACTGTCAAATTTGGAAAATACTGCCATGTTTGAAGTCTGGTACTGCTAAAACATGACAGTAATTAGTCCTATTTTGGGAATAAAACATGAAAGTCCTATTTTGGAATTTTCAAACTTTTTTAGTCCTATTTCGGGTAATATCTCAAAATCAAATTGTTGTAACTACTACGTATTAAAGAACGGGGATACTATTATATTAAGACTGTGATTATGCCTGTTGATCTAAGTGTATGTTTGGCATTAGTAGTTGAAAAGATACTTTTTGAGACTTTTTAGTAACTGTTGGGTTTAAGTGACTCAAAAGATCTTAAAAATAAAATGTGATAGTTGTTTGGTAAAAAGCTGACTACTTTGTTGAGTTCTGTTTGGTATATAAGTTGTTGGGACTAATTAAAACTACAAAAAAAATCTCAGATGTTACTCATATAGCATCTCAAAAAAAATGTTTGAAAAAGTTCTTAAAAATCGTCATATCAAACATACAATTTGAAATTTTTTAAAACTTTTAAAATAATATAGAAACTAGAAGGTAGAGGCGTATCTCTGCTCTCAAATGTGTCAAACATAGCCGAAGTCTCTAAGCTAACTATCTACGTAGTCCCAGTATACTCGAATACCGGAATACGTATTCCGTCTATAAATACACTTCTCCCCGGTTCCCACCCACGAATTAAACCCCAACATTGGCTAATTGATTAATTAATACTATACAGAGTATAACAATAACGGAATATATATTATTGATCAAAGCTGCAACGTATGAATATAACCATGAATCGAGCAATAATGATGGCTATGGCAACCATTTTCGTGGCGGTGCTCGCCGCAGTGCGCGACGGTCAAGCCCTCAACTGCGAACAGGTGGAGACTACAATCTCGCCTTGCCGTGAGTACCTCCGGGACGGCGGCGCCACTCCTCCAAAGGAGTGCTGTGACGCCGTAAAAAGCCTGGTCAGCATAGCTCCTTCCCAGCAGGACAGGCAGACCGCCTGTGAATGCCTCAAGGCCGCCGCCAGTCACAGTGACATCAAGGTTGACCTTGCCGCTAAACTTCCCACCGACTGTGGTGTCCCTGCTACTGTTCCGATCAGCCCTAACATTAATTGTCAAATGTTAGTACTCTTTCCTGCATTTCAATATCAACTTGTGTTTTAACTTCTTAAGTATGTTAAGAAAAGGGAAAAGTAGCAAATCAGTCCTCGAACTAACATTTTTTTTTGCACTAACATAAATAGTGCAAATCACCCCTTTTATAGGAGGCTCTTCCAGATGTCGCCATTTGGGGTGGTTTCCGGTGAAATTTTTTGATGAAATTTTTTGAGCATCTTCTTCATTAAGTCTAGTTTACCCATATAAAATTTTAACTAAATATTCAATCGTGAAGGCGGTCAAATGAATTTTTGAAGATAATTGCGCAGTTTAATAGCGTTGTATATTTCATAAATGTATTTGACTGCCTTCCCGGTTGAATTTTTTACTGAAATTTGGTATGCGTAAACTAGACTTAATGAAGAAGATGCTCAAAAAACTTCATCAAACAACTCCACCGGGAACCGCTACAATTGGCGATGGCCGGACAGAGCCTCTTATAAAAGGGGTGATTTGCACTATTTATGTTAGTTCGAGGGCTGATTTATTACTTTTTCCTTAAGAAAATGAAAATTATGTCACTGAAAAATGAAAATTATTCAAATTTACGTTGAAACGGATAAATGAAAATTATTAAGATTTAAGTATTCAAAACACTCTTTTTAAGTTAATTAATGATAATTTCTGTGTTTCCAAAAACTTTTTAAAACAACTGTCCAAAAAGACTAATCCGTATTACATTTTCTTAAGAAAACAATATTCCCTACTTGTCACGCATATTGTGTTTCTGTGATATTCTTAAATATGAGGTCATACATTTGAAATTTATCCCAATTAGGAGTGTTAATATGGAGCATTTAACATTGAGCAGATACTTCAATAAATTACAAATACGTTCCATCAAAGAAAAAGAAAATAATACGAATACTTTTGTTTCATTTCTCATTTCAAGAATTACATACACTATTCTTATACTCAACTTAAATCTATTTTAATCTTCATTATTAGATTAAAACTTTTAAACATTTTTAATTTTAATTTTTCAGATTTACAGCATGTTGACTTTTGCAGTAATCACATAATAGCATGCTTTATTTTGACTACATTTTATTTATCGTGGAGTAGTAAATAATAATTTAAAAAATATTATTAAATTTGTATCTGTTAAAATTTTTTATCTAATTTTAATAATATATACGAATAACCAGTTACATGTTTAAAGTTGTGCATTATATTGGCAAGTATATGAAGAAAATATGTTAAGGAAATTGTCTTAAATTGAAATAAAAACAAGAACTATGTGTTTATTACCAATGTCATGTTTGGAAATTGATGTCAATTTCGACATTAATGTTTGATAATGTCAAATTATGACAATATTATTCTATTATTTGAGAATTACATTAAATTAGAATATTATACTCGGTACTTATTTTACTAATAACATTAATGTGATACTATCAGACAATATATTCACAGTATTAGTATTAGTATCAGAGGATTTTTCAAGATGACACTCAGATCATGAAGAGCAAAAGCCCATAATTGCAAGTTAGCAAAAAGAAAAGGGAAAACCGTCAAATAGGTCCTCGAACTTTCATAAAAAAGCCAATTAAGTCCTTCTATAGGATGTTCTGTCCGGCCGTCACGATTTGGGGCGGTTCCCGATGGATTTTTTGATGAATATTTTTTAGCATCTTATTCATCAAGTCTAGTTTACTCATACCAAATTTCAGCTAAAAATTCAATCAGGAACACATTCAAATTAATTCTTGAAGATAGCTGCGCATTTTTGCATTCTCGAATTAATTTGAATGCTTTCCCAGTTGAATTTTTAGGTGAAATTTGGTATGAATAAACTAGACTTTATGAATAAGTTGCTCAAAATATTTCATCAAAAAATTCCATTGAGAACCGCCCCAAATCGCGATGGCCGGACAGAGTCTCCTATCGAAGGACTTAATTGACTTTTTTCAGAAAGTTGGAGGACCTATTTGACAGTTTTCCCAAAAGAAAGAAACCAAGTACTCCGTAGTATGATTTTATTCAAGCATCTTCGATCGTGATCGAACTGTTTTTAAAAAGATAAACATTTTTTTTATTTATAAATTGCAACTATGAGCGGTTTCACACCACTCTCTAACGTTAAAACAATTCTCTATTTAACTACTTAGGAGTGTTTAGGGAGCTAGTGAGCTACAAATCCTATCTACAATTAGAATTGTAGGAGGTCAAAACAAATGAAAGTTTAGGGCGATTGATAATGTGTTTTTGTGACTTTTAATGCTATCGTACGTTTATGTGGCATTTCAGCATCAGTTGAAAAGAGAAAGCTAGATCTTGGGGAGAAGCTTTGGATGGTTGCAAGTATAGTAACAAATAATGTGCTGCTTTTCATTTATTTTCTGTAATACTACATATAATGATTAATGAAATGTTATCCCACCGCCATTGTGTGGTGAGTGTGTGCCACTATAGGATCGAAACTTGGGGTGGATCGGTATAAATAATTTTTTTAGGTAAATTTTTACACATATTTTTACACTAAAAAACAAATAATTTTTAATTGGGGTACGCCGGGGTCCCGGTGCCCCCTTACCTCCGTCATGGAACTAGACTTATTAATAAGAAGTGGCTGGAATTATCTCGCCCCAGAGCATTTTGGTGGTACTTCAGATTACATACTCCTTCCGTCCTATAAAACTTGGCCATTTTGACTTGATGTAGAATAATAAAGTAAAGATTGTGTGATTGAGAATAGTTTTAGCATTATATTTGTTATCTTTTAATGGAAGTGACAAAGTTTTTTTAGACGGTCAAAAAAGGAAGTTTGATCAAATTTTATGGAACGGAAGGAGTACCAGACGAAGGAAATTTGACAAAGTTTTAAAAAGGAGGTAGTATACCGGGGGGAGTGGTTGCCAATGTTGTTCCATGTGAAATTTTTGAATGTCTAATACATGCAGAGTTTTGTAAAGTTGTACATTGTATGTGGCCAATGCGAGGCTTGGTGACCTTTGGTAAATTGCGCGTCGAGTTAGATTCCTTTTGTATACTATCTATGCTTGTTCACCTAATTCAATAGCCTTTTTAATTGCTTTTTTAAAGTAAACTCTATTCTAACACATGGTCATGTGAAAATAATGTTTTATTATACTCCGTAAATATAAAGCTAATGGTACATAAGCTAATGGTACATTATATAGCTGAGCTTTGGTACAATGGTGAATTGAAGTACTAACTACGCCCCTATGCAGTTCAATTCTGGCATGTCCAATTATAAGTATGAAAAAAACCTCAAGAGGTAATTTAATGTATGATCCATAATATATTATACATAATTCATTAATTAATATGATGACTTGTATTAGTTGTGTAACTGTTGCTCACTTGCTCATATGTTTTGCGCTAATATTATGCGATATAGAGTAGTGATAAAGTTGGTATATAAATGTATAATTTTAAAAAAACTTTATGGTTTCCCACTAACCCTGGCCTTTGTATTTAGGTAACATGGCATAAATATTACCTCCAATCTTTTGATAAATTAGATGATGTCATATGAAAGATATAAAAAGTTATGAGTTTTGATATACTAGTACTTTTTATAACAATCAGAGTACAAATAAAAAAGTTACTGCACTTTAAAAAACAAAACTTTATGTAAAGTGCTAAATAATTTTTTATTTTTATATATGAAATATTTTTGTGATATGAATGATAATGAAAATTATGAATTTGGATATTTTTGTAGCACTTTATTTATATATATGAAATATTTTTGTGATATGAATGATAATGAAAATTATGAATTTAGATATTTTGTAGCAATTGAAGTATAAATAAAAAAGTTATACTCCGTAACACTTTAGAGTAAAGAAGTGTTTTTTTCCTGTGGGTCCCATGAGTGACTTTCTCCTAGCTGCTAGTTCTTTGTTTCGTTTGCCACATGCACGGTCTTTTAAGAAATATTTTTAATTTGACCGTAATTTAGTAAATAATTTTTATTTAGCATTATTTTGGGGATAAACTCTTAATCCGGCAATTCATAAATATTAAAGGAAAATTCATATAAAAAAAAGTAAAACAATTCTCAAAGTGAATAAGCAGCTTAGCAATTTGTTCATTAATGTAAAAACAATTTTTTTCTGAGGGAGACTAATACATCAGATAAACTCAATCAGCTCCCATCCATCAATAAATAATACACATACAAATTATATAAAGATAGAAGTAGACTTTGTTCATCCAAAGACTCACAATTCCAATTCAACACTTCTTCACATTTTAAATCAACCCTACAAGTCACAATCACATAAGTCGTGTACTACAAAAAAAACACCGAGAATATGACGGTGGTTCCTCACCCATCTCTTATAATGCAATATATGATTGCATCAAAGAGATCTCAAAATAAAAAAGCAGAATTGATTATTGCATGCAATACTGGTCATTCACTGCCATAATGCTAGTCTGTACGTATTAATTATTTTATGTCATACTATACGGAGTATTTGGTTTTGTGAAACTTCAAATGCTATGTATGTGTAATGAGCTAATAGTGTTTGTAGATAATATACACTCTGTAATTTTTAAAGTTTTGACATTATGAATATCTGGATATTTTTTATAATATTCAGTATGTATTACAAAGTAACATGCCTAATTTGACTAAAGGACTGAAACATAGTGTTTACCTTTAATTATGAGAGAATAGATTTTTAGCCATTGATGATACTCTTCATTAGGTGTCTCACGCCTAGTCAGATCAAAAACAGTAGGAGACGGTACTCTAATGGAGCCATCTAGTATCCCTAACAGACTATGAGATACTAAGAATGACTCAAACTGAGTGCGTGTTGGAACGTATTGTTTTGTTGATGACAAACGACTAGTGTTACTTTTGGTTGTAAGTGACTACATGAAAAGAGTTTAAGTCGTGCTCTGGAACAAGCCGTAGAACTGGTCCGAGAACTGCACCGTAAATCCAAGATTGATTAATCCGGCTTGCTTAAAATATCTTTTCTCTCCATTTAATTTCGGATCTATCTTGCTAAATTAAAGAGAACCTTTTAAGCAAGAAAATAATCAATGATCATACAAAGAAAGGATTTTTTCTTTAAAGGAAAGTTATTTAAATCAAAGGCATTAATTAAGAGATCTTTCTACAAAGCAAGTTTCCAAAATAATTGTTGTTATTCAAAATTCAAAAAGGATTTTCGTGCATATCCTCTCACAAGGAATGTTTCCTTAAGAAAAATGATTTCCTTCAATCAAATAAAAAGAATATCTTTTAATACCTATAAGGAAATATTTTTGAATGATTTCCATGCAAGAGGACCGAAATATATATGGAGATCCGAGCTATTAAAGATAGTACATCAAGTCCTGATCTTGCCCATCTAAGAAGACCGATCTCAAAGGAAAGAATCTGTTGAGTATGTAGTTTTATTAATGACTAACTATGCAGGTGGAACTGCGGACGGAACCGCTCTCAGTTCCATACGGAACGGAAGACAAAATTATTCTTAATTCTATTCTGTGTGAACGTTTGATTTACATGGTGTATGATTTAATTAATATGTGCTTTCCTTATATGAGTGCTTATACTTTGTCAAGAATATTATTTTAAGCAAAAATATATTTTCATGCATGACTTACTATTATAGCTTATTATTTTATGGAAAGAATCTTTAATTGATTAGCTAGTTGATTGTGCATACCTATTAAACAAATATTCTCCTGCATATTATTTGAAATATGATCCGTTACATGCTTGCATAGTTTAAGTGAATAAATTACTTCCCTTGATATGTATTGATATATATCTGTGTGGAATTGTTACTAAATGGTTGATCACATAATATGCTCTATACCTTTTTGACTTGCTCATGATATGCACGTATCCTCCTGCTCCCATATATATATGGTTGACCAAGGACCATCATAATTAAGAGCTAGAAGATCCTTAAATAAAAGGAAAGCATTTTGAATAATTTCAAGGCAAGTTTCTCAACCATTCAAGGAAAGAAGTGTTCTCAACGGATCCATTCCTAGTAGACTATATAATCGAGATCAAGAAGAAGAAGCAGAGTGTGCTTGACCGAGAAAATATCAAGAGAGATACTCGAGAGAAATACAAAGTTCAAGGCACCTGAAACTGCTCCCGGAGTTCTAGACAAAGTTCTTATTCTCTTCCTATATTGTAATTGGGTTATTGAGGATTAGCTAAGTGTAGCTTCCTCGGGTTGGGTAACGTGTGTTGTGAGAGCTTTGTTGTAAAGCTGAGAGGCTCTCTACCCGCAAGGTAGAGAAGCGTAACTCTTCCTAGAGAGGATAGAGTTGGGGTGGCTCAAGGGTAGACTAGGAGAGTTTCCCTTGTAATCATTCAAAGGCTTTTTAGTGAAGTTGTTAAAATTCCTCCGAGGGAGGTCGAGGTTTTTTAATCCCTTTGAGCCAAGGGATTTTTCCTCGTTAAATCCTTGTGCCCTTTACTATTTCGCAATACCCTTCACCCCGCACTAGAACTGGGCGAAAAACTGCCACGGTTCCACACACACAATTCACCCCCCCTCTTGTGTTGCTAACCGTTTTCATCAATTGGTATCAGAGCCGGTCTTCACCACATAGAGGTTAATACCTTGGGAAGAGATCCGGCAAAATGAATACGGTTGACCGATTGGAAGAAGGTTACTCGACTCAACGACCACCATTGTTCAATGGGAAATACTATCAGTTCTGGAAGAGTCGGATGGAGAACTTTATCAAAGCCGATAATTATCAGGTATGGAATGTGATAGAAGGTGGCGACAATGTCATCACAAAGCTAAACGGCGAAGGTAATGTTGTTCCTAAACCTAAATCTGAATTTACTACTGATGATTATCAAAAACTCGAGCATAATGCCCAAGCACTAAAATATTTGATCTGTGGACTTGGTCCTTCCGAACACAACCGGGTTCTAGGATGCAAGTCTGCCAAACAAATGTGGGATTTGCTCGAGGTTACTCATGAAGGTACCTCACGTGTGAAAAAATCTAAAATTGACATATTTATGCGTAATTATGAATTATTCGTAATGAAGCCTGGAGAGTCAATTAAGGATATGATTACACGTTTTACTAATATCATCAATGAGCTTTCAGCCCTTGGAAAGGATATTACTGTGGAAGATCAAGTGAGAAAAATTTTGAGAAGCTTGCCCTCGTTATGGAAGCCTAAGACCACGGCTATTGAGGAAGCAAAGGACCTATCCACCATGACTCTTGAAGACTTGACCGGTTCACTCTTGACTTATGAGTTAGGGCTTCAAGAAGAGCAAGACGCTGAGACTGTAAGGCGAGAGAGAGGAATTGCTCTAAAAGCTCGAGAAGAGGAGGAAGAATCCGAAAGTGAATCGGAAGATGAGATGAGCATATTTGCTAAACAATTCGGGAAGATGTACCGACGGTTCAAGAACAACCGGAACAAA